TATGATTCATAACAGAGAGATAACATCCAAATACACAAAAAAATGAACACCATCTTAAATCTAAATTCTTAAAACTTAGTTTTCTCATATTTAATCAAGGTGAGAATTAAACTCATACCTTGATTTTCAATGCTAAGATACAACAATCCATTCATGAAAACTACATTAATACATTAAAAACACCATATTCGTTCTTAGAAAATAATGTTATGTATATAAGGTGGCATCTCAATTATATAAGAAACATATATAATGAAAACGTCATCATGCATAATATAGAAAAACAGTCGAGATTAAATAGGATTACAGTTATCCTAAAATGAGTCCGAAAATTTAAAACTTAAGCGTACTAAAGTATTTCAAAAGGATAGGATTCACCGGGAGATCCATAATAACATAACAGTAATTCAAAATACAAGAAATGCTAAGAGAACATTAAGGAGACTAAACGGCAGCATCGTCTTCCTCCAAAGCTTGCTCTAGAGGCACCTCTTCCGCCTCTGCTCACATCCAAGTGGATGATCATTGCAAAAGAAAGTATACCCAAGCAAACACAAACACACAAGCAAGGGTGAACTAGATATACAAAAATCATGTTATACCAATCACACACAATATGCAATTAAAGGCAGATATAAGACCACGCAACATAACTTCTTACACTTTACACTTGACTCGTCCAGACTAGAATGATTGTCGAGCTATGGCGGGTTATGCACTCGTGGTGGCCTCTACTGCTTTGCAAAGCCATTGCCAATGGGTTTCACCCTACCACACTCACGATGTTAGTCCGTTATCACTCACCTTGGGCTATATTGGAAGCACCCAAGACTAGGACCTCCTACTACTCCTCACCTCATGGATCAATCCTCTCTACTTGAGAATGAAAGACCATTGGAGCGTCAGGAAAAACCCCAAAACTGAGCTACCATGCATTCAGGCACCACCATGAATCCTCACCTTGAGGCCATGGAATTACGTCCATTACACATAGGGCACCACCATGCGACCTCCCTTGAGATCCATGGAATTACGTCCATTACACATACTTGTTACATTCAACCACCAAACATGTCTCACACATTCACATACTTTCAATGTAATAACATTACCACAATCATACTATGCATCCCAATCATCCCACACACTTAATTCAACCCAAAACAAGAGCAAAAGAGACTGGAATCGAACACCATGAGCTTTGGCCGAACACTTAGAATCTTGGCCGAACGCTTAGAGCCTTGGCCGAACACCTAGAGCCTTGGCCGAACGCTTAGAACCTTGGCCGAACACCTAGAGCCCTGGCCGAACGCCTAGAGCCCTGGCCGAACGCTTAGAGCCTTGGCCGAACGCTTAGAGCCTTGGCCGAACGCTTAGAGCCCTGGCCGAACGCTTAGAGCCTTGGCCGAACGCTTAGAGCCTTGGCCGAACACCTAGAGCCCTGGTCGAACGCCTAGAGCCTTGGCCGAACGCTTAGAGCCTTGGCCGAACACCTTGAGCCCTGGCTGCACTCTATCAAGACCACCACTAAGACCGAACGTTACCAAGACCACCGACTAAGACCGAACGTTACATATGACCAAGCGCTACCTCAGACCGAGCACCATCAAGACCGAACACTCAACAGCGCATGGCCGAACGCTTATCAGTTCACTTTCGGCGAAACTGCATAATTCTACAGAATTATGAACAACACCTAACATAATCATTCCTAACCATTTTTACTAACTTCTAACACCCTTAATTCTTGTTTTATACTTAATTAAACTTATTTAAATGATTCTAAACATTCCTACTACCATTTTAAAGTGATTAAAGTTCAATTTTAACTCTAAAACACTAATTTCAACAACTTATGGACCCAAATCCGATTCTACTACGTGGCACATGTTTTAGACCACTTTTATGCTTCTAACAAGTCACAATGGACTTGTCTAGGCTGCCCCCAACAGTCCAAGAACGCTGCAGCCCTCATTTACTCAAAATCACTACCTCACTTCCTCTCAAAATGACCTAAAAACTACTAAAACCCCAAATTTTCTACCCAACTAAAGTATACCAGATTTTCACACTTAAATCACTTCCAATTGGTCAATTATAGCAATTCAAACCCATCCAAATCAATTCCAAACAACTCAACACAGTTTCATGGATTTCACATATCAACACATACCATACAACATACTCAAAACGCAAAAATACAACTCCAAACAGTGCACAAAGTCAAAATCCAATATACATACACTTCATGCAAGAAATTTAAAGAAGTATTCTAGCTCCCCTTACCTTGAAACTTCTTTGCTCAACTCAAAGACCCGCAACTACAGTACCTCACACGCAAATAATCTAGACAACACCCTACAACCCGCAATGCGGTGATTAAGAACAGCTTTTAGAGCTAGAATGAACGGAGGAAAACGTAAAGGAGGGTACACTAGGCACATGCAACTTGCCCTAGGTCCCAAACACGGAGAACAATGAAGAGCTACTTACCCGCTGAAGAATGAAAATCTATTCGGATGGATGCGAAGGTCTCTACGTCGTGGTCACTGGAGCACCACCTAATCCAACATGCAACCACTAAATGTGAGGGAATGGTAGAGAGAAGGCAGAGAGAAATGGGAGAGCAAGCTTTTTAGAGAGAGAATGGGAAGATGAGATAATGAACTTAGATTTTGAAAGGTTCCTTCCTAAGGTCATAGTGCCCTTAGCCTTATGGGTCTGGCTGCCTCAACCTAAGGCCCAACTGCCATATATTTTCAAACCCTTACACATACACACTCATTAATGAAAACTTAAATCCCAAAAAAAGGACTACAAAAGTATGGAGGCAATATAAAACAATGATATGAGGTTTTTCTAATTATTAGGTTCCTTTAGCTTCTACCAACTCTTGCTCTATCTATTGCTAACTTAAAGTCAATGCACTTGTTCATAGACTTCATTAGTCTTCATAAACCTAAAATTAAGTCAAATTTAATTGAGAGCTTCACAAGCTAAACTACATATAGCTACTGCTTAGTCAAATTCTCTGCACAAATTTAAGGTCAACACACTTAAAAATATGTTACGCTATTTAAAAAATTTATTTTAGTTTTGCTATTGTTTTCACTAATATAAATTTGTAACGAATTGCTGGCTACAAAGTCTCAAATCGGATAAAATATGAAATACACATGGGTTTATATACACATAAGATATATCCCTTAGTAAGAGGCCTTTTGAAGTGATACCAAAAATAAATTTGTAAGGACTTAGTCTAAAGCAGAGAATATTTTATTAATGGAAAGATCTAGATATGTGTGTATTAACCCATATTTCACCCCTCTTAGCATTCAGATTTTATTTCCTAATTTCTTAATTTCAAAATAAATATTAAAAGAACTTCCGAAATAAAATTTTCAAAAAAGAATTTCGAAACGCATAGAATGCATTTCATTGATAAGTTTTTTCAGAATAGGATTTTTGGAATAAATTTCCCAAATGTATATAATAATGAGTTTTTTTCCAAATATCTTAATGTCTTTCAAAAAGAGTTTTTTAGAATACATGAAATGTGCTCCAAAATGGTTTTTCTGGAACGAGTTATTTTTCACATTTTCTTCTCTTCTGCATAACAGTGGAGGTACAGTTAGTAATATTAGGGGTGTGGGAAACAATAGCCTTGGAACTTTAGACAGTTTTTTCCCCTTATAACTTCTTTTCACACTACCTTAATATAAAAAATGAATTATGTATATTCATCACGACACCTCATAACAAATTCGAAATTGTATTTTAAAATAAGTAATTTTAAATATTTTCAAATTAATTATTTCAAAATTATTTTAAATATATTTTAGACTATATATAATGTAAAACTATATTCTAAATAAAATAATTCAAAATTATATATTTTTGTATTCAGATTATTATGAATTACACAATATGAAATATGACTTCAAATTAAACAATGTAGAAATCATATTCTGAGTTACATAACATATTAACAAATTAAGAAATTTAAAATGTTTTAATAAGAATATGTTAATCATTTTATTTTTTTCTATTTTATAAGATAAAGAAAATAAAATATAGAGATAAAGAAAGAAATTACCAACTTTAGATTACGTGAAATCTATTGCTTCAAATGTCAAACAAATATTCATGATATTTCAGTGTTTCTAAGATTTCTCACTAAAATATATTTAATTCATAAAAACTTGAAATAAAGTACTCACAATTTTTGTTTATTTTTATATTTTATAAATGATACCTTTATGTTATCCTTTGATAGGATAATATGGTTTCCAATACAAATACCACTAATAATAAGTATCAAAGTGGTTTCCAACCTAACAACTCTTCCATTTTATCCTTTTTATCCTTCTTTTACATTTTAAAGTCACCATTACACGTAACTTCTTCTTATTTTTATAATTTAAACATTAACATAATTTATTCTTACTTTTATAATTTAAATATTACTCGCCAATTCAATAACTTTTTTCATCTTTGTATTCCATCAACATTAATTTTTGTTAAATCATTGTTATGTTTTTGTTTTCGTATTATCATGTAAACATTATTTATTGTTGAAATTTTTTGCCGACCAGAGCAAAACAACCAACGCCTTCTCCAACGTTGCCCTCAAAAAGGCACTATTCTTAATATGATAGCAATCTGATGGAGATGGCCTTGATGGTTTAATATTTACCTTACAAAAAATTAGATCTGTTGATTCTCCATTAAAAGATAGTCTTAATTATTCCATTATATATACGAGTATGGTGAAAAATAAAATACACAATTAGAAACTGAAATTCTAAAACAACCAAAGTTTTGAAACAAGAACGAAATACTAAAACAACTGAAGATTAGGAACGGAGAACTAAAACAGCTGGTAGATGACATAATCGTCAATCCAATCACCAAAAGATAGATCAATAAGTTCATAACTGAAATCCCATCTTTTATTTCTTATGTTCCTGAAATCAATAAAAGAAAAAAAAAACACTTTAAAAACTCCAACTCGAAAACGACTGTTGTAAACTACAAAAGTAACAACTTAAGAAAGCATAAATCAAACACGGATTCCATACCAACCAAAAATCATTGCCATTTATAGTAGATATGAATTTAACTCATGAAAACTATTCCTGGATATTTAACTCATATCAAATGGTAACACAAGTTTTCTAACTGTTATTTGCGGAAAATGGAAGTTATATTGTCATTGAGCAGCACTAAGGAGAACTACCAATACCAAAACCCAGTTGCAGAACTTTGTAGTGTTACAGCCACAATGGCCAATATAGTGTGGCATCAAGCCCTGAACAAAGGCCACAATGCTTCTGTAGAAATTGAAATGTCTGTTGTTTCGACATTCTTTTCTTATTGAAGTTTGGTTTAATTACTCACTTACAGTAAAAAGATCTCAATTTTGACAACACAAATTCATCTGCTTCCATTGTGTTTTTGGTTTCATAACCTGATGCACATGGCACATATAAACCATTTTTTGACTAAACATTTCTCATCAGAATGCACAGTTAAAGTTCGGGGGTTTCAAACTAGTCAATCTCTGTTCCCTAACCCATGCATATGATCTGAAGCATTTTTATTTTTAATTCTTTGTTTTCTAGCAAAATTAGACAAAGAACAGCCGTTCTCTTCCCTCTATATATCAATGGCTTGAGGCAGAACAAACCTGTGTATGATGATGATTCAAAAACGGCTTTGGTAGAAGGGTCAATCTTGAGGTTTCATGGCAGGGAAGAAAAGAACCTCCTAACACCAAAAGAACAGATGGTAAGAACTTACGTAACTAAAGCATGGAGGAAGAGCAAGAATCAGAACCTTGATATTCTGTGAATCTGTCAATAACATGGTCAATCGATCAATACCCAAGCCCCAACCAGCAGTAGGTGGCAAACCATACTCCAGAGCCGTACAAAATGTTTCATCCAAGGCCATTGCTTCATCATCACCTGATTGCCGATCCTAACACAACAAATAACAAAACAAATAACAAAACAGTTCCTCCTGCTATTATTTTCTAGAGAAAAAACCCACCAATTAGAGTAGTGCATATTACATTAGTATTGAATTTCCTTACCTTGAGTTGTTCGGAAAATCTCTGTCGTTGTACTACAGGGTCATTCAGTTCAGTGTACGCATTGCAAAGCTGAAAAGTAAGAAACAGTTGTCAGAAGAAGGATGATTGCACATTTTTTAAAATAATAACCACTTAAATGTCATGACCTTACTTCATGCTTATTAATAAATAATTCAAAACGTTCGGTCAGGCCTGGCTTCGATCTGTGCCACTTTGCTAGAGGACTCATTATCTCAGGATGGTTTATGATGAATGTAGGATTTACACACGTTTCTTCCAAAAAGTGACCCACAAGCTGCAAAATGAAAAGATATAATTATATTTCAATCAGAAACCTCATAAGAGGCCCAAAATAAGAAATAAAGACACATGAACAAAATGCATTGATTAGAATTGGACTTATTTAAAACAAACAAAAGACTGAGTAGGGTAAAATATAAAATGAGAAAAAATAGCTGTTGGCCATAATTGTAACCGAGCCTCACTAAACCTGCGCCAACATTATTATAGAAATTAATGTTACAATTCACAATATAGAAATATTGGAGCTCTGCAGTGGAAACTAGCTATATTACTAGAATGACTATCTGTTTAATGAAGACTATAATGTTTATTGACTGCATTATTCATCGTTACTGTTTTACTGAAAATTATAGTTATATTACTGGAATGGTAGCTGTTATTTGAGAAAGACTAGAAAGTTTAGACTAAAGTTCTATCCCCCATCCTACAATTCATAAATACTTCATTTTCCCAATCATAACACAGAAAACTAGTGCTTTTATATTTTGCATCCAACATACGAAACTCTTGTCCTGGTTTTAAATCAGAAATTCAGCAACACAATAAGTATGACACGGAATATAACAGGAAAACGGGCCCCTTTAAAATTTGATCCATTCTGACAAGGAAGGATCATCTTCCAAACAAAAGAATAATTTAAAAACAAGTAGATAATAATAAAGAAAGGGGAGGAGGGAGAAAAAAGAGATTACTTTATCCAACAAACGTGCAGTTGTCTCAGGAGGTGGACATTTAATCTCACACTTCAAGCATACGTCCTTCAAATATTGATTAGCTTCCTCACTCGACAAGTCTTTCGGAATACTGAGGCCTGCCATCTTCTCCAATTCTTCAATCATGTCAATTCTTCTGTAACAATTAAAAATCAAACGTATCATCCAAAAGTAGAATATAACTATGATGGCCATTAATGACAAGATGGAGTAAAAGTAGAATACACCACGCACCTGAAAGGTGGAGTAAAATCAATTTCAATAGGTTCCTTATCAATCCCATCAGCATGATACTTGATTTTATTGCTTCCCTTTGTAAGTTCCTTGACCATACCTGTTTAATGCTTTTCAGATGAGATTAAGTAGCTAATTTTATGATAAGATACAAGAAAGAAAGTCAATATCAATAAGACAGAAAAAAACATCTATATATTCTTACCACTCAACATTTGCTCTGTTATATCCATTAAGTCATTGTAGTCCTTATAAGCCATATAGAACTCACAAGTAGTAAACTCAGGATTATGAGTCAAATCTATGCCCTCATTTCTAAATTGTTTGCCAATTTCATAAACACGGTCCAACCCACCAACAACCAACTCCTTAAGATACAGTTCTGGAGCAATCCTCATGTTCAACCTCATGTTAAGGTCATTGTGATGGGTTACGAATGGGCGTGCTGCAGCTCCACCAGCAATCATGTTCATCATAGGTGTTTCGACCTGAAAGTAATGCAACAAGTAGGTGAACAGAAGAAAAGAAACCACAGGATCTAGTACCAAAATTCCCAGAAACAGAACAAACCTCTAAGAAATCAAGGTCATCAAGGAACCTCCTAATGTAAGAAATGATTTTAGATCTGGTCTTAAAGATTTCTCGGACCTCTGGATTAAGCATCAAATCCAAATGGCGTAAGCGATATCTAGTTTCCTGAAACATAAACAGTTAATTAAATAAAACATACAGCCGTCAGTACATAAATGAAACAGAAATTAATTTCCGGGCAGTTTTCTAACTACTTTTTGCAAAAATGAAACATTTTTTTTACCAAAGAGGGTCTTTGTCTATGATGAGGCTCCTTTTACATACTTGAGGGAGAATAACTGTTCCTCCTTCATTTTTTGAACTTTGAATAAAAAATAACAATAATGTGTAATAATCTAAACAATTAATCTTTTCAACCGTTAGGATAGTCAATTTTTGTTTCATTCTTCAATCGATCGGCTCAGGTCTTTCGCTGCTTCCCACCGTTCGGCCTGCTCGCTCCTCACCTTCCTCTATTCGGCTTGTTTCCCCCTGCCTCCTACCGTTCGGCTCCCGCTCTTCACCACCTTCCACCGTTCGCTTAGACCTCTCCACGCCTTCCACCATTCGGCTACCATTCGGCCTTTACGGTTAATACCGTTCGGCCTCACTTCCCTCCTACCTTCCTTCTCCTTCTCATATACTTTCCAAACCTTATTATTACCCCCTACCTTATACCGTAACATTACACCCTGCTGCAAAACAACCTTGTCCTCTTGGCTTCTCTTCATCATCGTGTTACTATATGAAGGGTACTCACTGGTTGTTGCCCTCCAATTGAGGTCTGGAGGTTTGGCTGGTGGTAAAACCTCCTCCAATGTCTTCCATTCTTCGTCCAACATTATGGTCACCACTTTTCCAGAATCATAAGCCTTGAGGAATTGGTCTTTGATGTCTTTTACTACTTCACGTCGCTTTCTCCCTTCGACTGGTGTATCAAAAACTGCAAACCCCCTGTTCTTTTCGTTGGCCCACCTTCTTACAGAATCCATTGTTCTCTCCAGGGTATTGATTCTTCCATCTACCCTTCCTTCCAAAGCCTTCATTCTTCCTTCCAGTAGTAGCCCAATCGGTTCCGGCAGTTTTTTCACGTTCGGTTCTGGCCGTCCTCTCACGTTCGAATCTGTCAGTCCACTACCGTTCGGTTCCAGCAGTCCCTTCCCGTTCGGCTCAGTAAGTCCTCTCTCTTTAGGTTCCGCCCGTTTTCTCACATTCGGATCCAGCAGTCTGCTACCATTCGGTTCTGGCAGTCCTTTTGCGTTCGAATCCGTTAGTTCGCTACCATTCGGTTCCAGTCGTCCCTTACCGTTCGGCTCGGAAAGTCCTCTCTCTTTAGGTCCTGCCCGTTCTCTCACGTTCGGATCCAGCAGTCTGCTACCGTTCGGTTCTGGCTGTCCTTTCGCGTTCGATTCCGGAAGTCCTTTCTCGTTTGGAGTTTGGACGTATTCTTCCACGGTCCCCGACTGCTTACTGGCCGCGAGTCTTTCGAAGACTGACCCCGTGTTTCTTTCTACGAATTGGATCACCATCGCCTCCTTTAAACCTTCCCAAGAACAATTCTTGGCTTTCCCCTTCCAAAATCTGAACCAGAATCCGGCCTTTTTCTCCATACTGATGTAGGCTAGGCGCACCTTCTCTTCCTCCAACACCCCTTGTAGTACAAAAAATTTATCAGCTCTATTGATCCAATTCAATAGATCAACCTCGTCAAAAATGGGTAACTCTACCCTTTTCCTCCAATTTGGTTGCTCCTCGTGGCACCCACCATCTCTCTCGCCTTCCCCTTCCTCTCGCCGGTCCTCCCTTCTCCTGTTGACAGACCCCTGGCTTCCATCCGAATTTCCATCTAGATGTCGGGCTCGCCCTCCCATCATCCTTAGCAGTTCTTGTAAATCCTTGCGGACTGCCGCCATCTCCGTCTCCAATCCCCCCATGGACAATTCTATGTTCTCCAGCTTTTTCTCCTCTCTTGACTATCCGGCAGTTCCCTCCGTCACGCCCTTTTCTCCTCTCTATCGATCCGGCAGGTCGGACCAATTGTTACGTATCCGAGTAGGAGACGTAACGAGATCACCCTCTCACACACTCACAACAAGCAAAAGAATAATGAAAGAATGGAATTGAACGAATGAATATCTTTTATTGAAGGTAATATTTGAATAAACAAAAGTAAACAATAATTGAGAGCATAACCTCCATCAATTATTTGGGAGCATAACCTCCCTCACAAGACAAAAATGTCTGTCACAAAACTCAATGATCAAAAGCATACCTTTAACCCTAGACTCTCCCTTTATTTATACTAATTATTTCCTAAATAAAATATTTCCCTAGAATAAAATCTTTCCCTAAAATAAAATATGAATATTGTTCTAAATAAAATATTTCCCTAAGATATATTCTTATTTACTATAATTATTTCTAAATATTTCCCGCCTATCCTAACTGTTGTCCCAGTTAGGATAGTCACTCTTCAACCGATCGGCTCAGGTCCTTCGCTGCTTCCCACCGTTCGGCCTGTTCGCTCCCCCTTGTCCACCGTTTAGCCTGCTCGCTTCTCGCCTTCCTCTGTTCGGCTTGTTTCCCCCTTGCCTCCTACCTTTCAGCTCCCGCTCTTCACCACCTTCCACCATTCGCCTAGACCTCTCCACGCCTTCCACCATTCGGCTACTGTTCGACCTTTACGGTCAATACCGCTCGGCCTCACTTCCCTCCTACCTTCCTTCTCCTTCTCATATACTTTCCAAACCTTATTATTACCCCCTACCTTATACCGTAACAATTTCCAACAAAAATCAAGAAAATCAATCCATTTTGTGACCAAGGGCCTTTAAGCTGCAATTAAGTTAGTTCATAAGGAGGATCATAAAAATGAGAAATGGAGTAAATAAATAGATAAACACATTCAGAATATACTTACAAAAACTATACGTTACAAAATGAAAAGATAAAAACACCGCATAATAATGATAAGCCTCTAACTCATTTCTATTTGTTGAAAGTCGCACATTGACTATCGACTAGAGATAAGGTCAATTTACAATATTTAAGTGGATACAAACCTCACCTTACAAAAAGGTCTTATAGGGTTGAGTTAGACTTAAAGTCTACTTCTTTACATGGTACCAGAGCCGTGAGTTAGAGTTTATCCTAATACATTTGTTGTTTGTTGGGTCTATTGTTCTATCCACTATCGGACTACCCATTAATCTCTAGTCTCATGCTTAAGATATATATATCAATATATAAGCGGGTATAAGCCTCTACCAAATGGTAAGGTAAATCATGTATCCACCCTCTTACTGTTGTCACAAATTGGTTCCAACAGAACAGTAGATGCTACAAATGTTTCAAGAGACTAAAAACATTGAAAATATTTAAAGAAGTAAACATTTCATGCCAATGATACCTGGTCTTTCAAGATATATATTTCAGGATTCCTGGTACTTCCTGGTACCCATGGATTTCTCTGGAGATCATTAAAGATGTAATTATGTCATTGCATATGGTCATCAAACAACATTAAAAATAAAATAAAAAAGAAAGGTTCCTGATCTTCAAATTTACATTATCAGCAGCAGCAGCAGACTTTTGCCTGGGCATCATATGCAAACAATGTGACAGCACTACAAATGTCTTTGGAAAAATACTAAGCTCACCCTTCTTACTTTTTCCTGGATAATTAAAAAATGAAAAACTGAGAAAGTTTCTGATTATAGAGTTGAAAAATTATAATTCACAATATAATAGTAATGTACAATGCATCCTAATTATGGAGAATCAGAATAGAAACATTTATGCTTGATCAGCAAGAGTGAGTCCTTTTTAATGAATAAAGAGTGCAAGTGTGCAACATTATAAATTTTGCCAATTATCTAATATTTACAGAGTGACTTTTGGACTTAAAATGTCTCCCAATTGCTCAAATGAAACACCACATTCCTAGTCTTGAGGCAGAAATCATCTAATAAAATGCACATAATCGAAACAGGATTTATATCTTTGCTTATTCCTATTTACCTAGACTTAACTCATTTAAAGAAGCTCTTATAATCATAATTTCTATATATGTATTCATAGTCATGGTCATAGAAATTCAGACAGACTTTATGCATATGAATGACAATAAGTTTGGCATCACGAACCAGGAAATCCAGTGATACCAACTATGTCACCACGCTTCACATTAGAATGAAATTTGGAAAAGCCAGCCTCATTCAAGTCTGATTTACTGCATTAAAGAAATATCAGTTGTTTCATCTGTCCTATTAAAATACGACAAGATAAAAGAAAATAAAAATATATCATTATGAAAGAATTAAAAATACTAAACACTAACTTGGCAAATCGTAAGTACAAACAGCTACGTCCAAGTTAGTCAAACACCAAGGTAGCAAGGAATGCCATAAAGCTGACTTCATAATTTGTAACCATACTATGTGTAGTATAAAGTAACAACCTCCTAAATATCTATCCTTTATAACACTAGGACCTTCATTACATATTTATCCTATGGTATATTAGTAAAAGTATTATAATACAAGACCCCAAAGGATAATTCAGATATTTCAAAAGAGTGCCAATAAGAGCATGACTGGGCTTCCATTAAAAATTATTACAGATTATAAGCCATGCATATTTTTTCAAATTTTCCTCTAATTTAAATACTTAAAACAAAAACGTTTAATAATGGTTAATACTGATAAGCTTTTTCACCTGATTCAACAACAACCCTACATGATCAAGTCTTATAATTTTTATTAATATTAATAAAGTAGAACAAGATTGAGTACCTCGCATCGGCCATAACCTGGACCTTGAAACCACCACCATGCAGATCATAAAAGACAAGCTTAGAACCAGAGGTGCGCTTGTTCATGATCCGACCTGAAATGCAGAAGCATTAATGAATCAACATACAGCCACAGATGCAGCAACAGATAAAAAGAGCTATCAATGCAGAAACTGCTGACTACCAGACAAAGACACAGAAACATCCTCAAGGTGCTGCCCTTCACTTAAACCTCCATATTCCTTGATGTATTCATCAAGAGCCATAGTGACAAAGAATTTGTGGGGATATGGATTTCTGCCTTCTGCCTTTTGAACTGCAAGATACCTCAGCCTATTCTCAAGGTATTGCTGCAATGAAATGAAATCACCCAGAAAATTACCAAAAAAAATGAACAAACATAGAAGGCAATTCGTCATAAATTCCACTTCACAGACAAAAAGGGAGCCATACAGTCGGGTCCATATCATCCTCATCAACTGGTGCAGACTTGTTATCCTTAGCCCGCTGCATTTCAGCTGCCTAAAAGAATAAAAATACGTTATAAATAAATATAAATAAAATTTCATCTGTGACAAATTGAAATTGAAATGCAGAGAATAAATGAAATTCCACAAAATCTTTCCAAAACATACAAAAATTTTAATTAGTACAGAAAACAAGGCTTAATTGCATATTTTACCACTCAATTATCATCACTTTTGCACAATTTACAGTCAAACTTTTCAATATCACAAATATTAATGATCAATTAATTTTCTAAGGTGATAACATGGCATGAAAAATAAATAAATAAAAAGAAGACAAGGCAACATCATACAAAAAAAAAATGGTAGCAAAATAATGTTGTATTGCTGTGTTTTCACGCTATATCTTCTTCAGAAATTAATTTAACAGATGAATGACACATGCAAAAGTTTATAAGATTGTGTAATGCAAGACAAGACAAAAATTAGATTGCAAAATGCATAATGATCATAGGTAAGTGGAAAAACATGCAATTAACAATAATAAAAGAAAAATCTATAGCTGCTAATAGATAGCTACATTGCGGAATTGGTAATAACATTGCAGATAAGGGAAAAAGAAGTACCTTTTTGGCTTTCTCCTCCTCCTTGCGCTTCCTTTCTTCTTCTCTCTGTTTGTTCTTCAGTTCTCGCTTCAGTGAACTGCGAAAACAAAAGAACAAAAAATTTAATCAATTGTGGCAAATTGAAATTACACTGTGAAAAAGATTTTCATGCTCAAACTTTTTGCTTATGGTTTCGCCGGCGCGGTTAGACGGCTGCTCAGAAACTTCCATTG